CTTTTCATTACTCCAATAAGATTAAGATTGGGCAGAGCTGTTTAGCTTGAGGGGTGGGGGCGGGGTGAGGGCGGGGGAAGGTGGGGAATTCCTCACTTTCGCTGGTTTCTTTTATGAGTTCCTGCTGAATTACACGCCTCAGCGTGGTGAGACGACTGTCAGTTGCAGACGAAACTCTTGCTATTGCAAACTTCACAGTAATTTACAGATCTCTACAGGAAGCATCGGCAGTCATTAATGGGGAAACAGCGAAATGCCCCGAAGCGGGCCGACTGGACATTAAAAGAACTACTTGTGAACAGATGGTACTACCGTGATGAGAAAACATCTTTCTTCACAAAGTGATTGTGATAGTTTTCCGGCTCTTCTTTCCTACCTAGGTTAAAATATGAGTTTTTATCTTCGTATCTCCTAATCTCTATGGCACCAAAGTGTCCTATTCTACAGGGCCTCGCAAAACTGGGTAGCAAAGGAAGAGTACAATAGAAATATTAAGAAAATCACCTGACTAAAGATCCGATGGTGTTTGCATGCTGATAAATCTCCCATCCATGATCAAGACTATTATCGGCCAACTTCTCCCAAATACGCAACATTCTTTCGTCGTCAAGATATTCTGGACATTTAGCGTATCTAGAAACGAATTCACGGTTGGGTTAAGACGAAGACAGGGATAGGTCGTGAATAAATATCCCTACTTGTGTACTATTTTCCATAGCAACGAATAATACAAGCGTTGACGTCCATGTGGAAATGTTTGGTCGAACCAGGTGCAGAACTCAAGGCAATGCTTGAGAGGGTCCGATGACTGGTCACACAATTCCATAATTTCATCGTACTTCTGCGTTGCTAGCGACTGCGCCTTTGAGCCATGGGCGCTAAGAGCAAGGGCCTAAACGGTTTTGTTGAGCTGCATTTTAATTATACACATGACTATCACATTATTACAAAAGCCTTTCACGGACTACCGGTTGCATGTGGGAAAGAGAGGGCTTGTAAGCCGAGCACCCCCCCCCCCCCAACTAAGTTAGCTCCAAAAAGAATGAAAAAGACTGAAAGCAGCAAGAAGCTGACCTGGTTTATCGCTTCAACACGGCGTCCAGTCTTGAGCGGTTTGATATTCTCACGACATAGCTCCCATTCGTATTCCGATGGCGCCGGAGCCGACTGTGACGATTCTTGTTCAGAATCGCCGCACGGCATGGCTAAAAACGTCCGCCAAAGATAGCAGTGGCAAAAAGATTGAATGGAATACAAGAAAGACTCGTGAATGACATGGTTACCACATATGCATGACTCATGTCTTACTGTCACCTATGCGCACAGAGGCCCACTTTCAGGACATCAGAATCGAGAAGCGGCGCCTTGAAAAATTTCGGAGACCTATTGTGCGAGAGTTAGGAATGTCAAGGAATCACCGTATTGTCAGAGGAATAAAAATCGGCTACAAAAGAGCGCATTATACGTATTACGGAAGTTACCTAATCGCCATACGCATACGTACAGTCCTGCTCGCTGCGGATAAAGGGGCGTGTTATGAGGGATGGGTTTGGCGCGAGGCCGCACCCGTTCTCCACAAATTATTGAAGCGAGCTAGCGACAAGACCGGATAATATCGTTCGTCTCAGTTGTTTTCCAGCAACTGTTGTCGCTTAACTTCTTCAACAACTAGTAGAGAACGGGTTTGCCACCGCGCCAACCCTTCCCACCTAACACGCCCCGTCATCTGCAGTGAACAGAACTGCAAAACTGTATCACAACAAACTTACCAGGGAAGGTCAACAGGTCAGTCCGGTCATTTGCAATATGATGTACACCGAAGTACACGTCTTGGGACGCTGAGCTCAAATTTTTCTTTGAAATTTGCTGAAGCGACTCTCTGAACAGAGTTATGGAGGGTTTTCCGCCCGCCTTATTGTTCCACATGTTATCTCATGGAATTGTGGAAGCGCTTTAAATAAGTGAGAAGATAAGGAAACGTGGCAGTGGGGCGCAACAGGTAGTAATCGGAGTGTGATAAGGAAGCGGTTACGGGATCAGTCCCCATGTGTTCACAGCTTTTTGCATTTTTCTAGGAACATGGCCAGCCAAGCTTGAACATCCCTGCTCGTCCGTTCTCGCCTGTAAGAGGACCTGCGATCAGCTTCTTAACAGTGTAGTGTACACCCCTCGGTGGACTCAAAGGGTGCTTGTGCTTGTACCCGTCGTAGCACATGTCACAAGGGTTTTTGCACTAAATTAGTGTGATATTCATGTTCAGCGGGTCAAATTACCCCTGTACACACGTTTCTAGCCAAAACTGAGACTTTGACCCAACTTCGAAACGTGATTGTATTCTACGAGTTATGGGTAGAACTCATCTAATGACTATTCTTATTAGGGTGAAGTTTGCCCTTCCCATCTTCTATCAGAAAAATGAAACATGCCACCACGTGAGCCAGATATAGTTCTTTGCGAAAATGCATGGCCAACGAGTTGATTCAGCTCGAATACCAGTTATCGGTGGTAGGCTAGACCTACTGTCACTATTTAGTCGTGACTGACCTAACCACACTTTTTCAGAGTTGAGTAAAAATCTCAGATTTCGCTAGAGTGCCGTCCCCAGGGGTTATTTGACTTTGTGAACACGAATGTCACACCCTTTTTGCGCGAAAGTGGTTATGCCGCGCGCTACAGGCCCTGAGCGCTTGGGGGCCAGTGCGCCTTTGAGAGAAAAAAAAGAGGAGAAACCTCCATAACTCTTCTCGGTGAATTGTTCAGCAAATTCTCAAGCTAGATTTGAGTTCATCATGTTAAGGAGCGTACAGCGGTGTGCACCTCATTGCAAATGGCCGGACTGACCTGTTGACCTTCCCTGGTTAGAGTGGCTACGCTGAACTCTGAGCAGATACAGGATCACAACCTCATTAGCGCAAACTCCTAGAGAAAAAATGTGCGGATAGAAAAATCTCGAAATCTCACACTGGACGTGAAAGGACCG